GATGCCCAAATGGACCAGCCGGGCCAACCTGTGTTCCACCACCACTCGGCGCGCTCGATATTCGTCGTACCCGGCGCTCTGTTGCAATGCCCGGGCCTCCTGCAACAGGGCTTCCTGGGGATGGATCAGCACCCACCGTCCCTTCCTGCCTCTGGCCGAGATGCACTGGGACCGCAGTGGACAGGTCATACATTCGGACCCGTCGAACTGGAAGGCCCGCAGGCGGTGGACCCGACCCGCGGCATCCGTACGCCGTCCCGCCGGCACGATGTTGTGGGTGACCTGCCCCGCCGGACAGGTGCAACTGCCCGCCGCCAGGTCGATGACAAAGTCATCCTTGGGAAAGCGCTGCCGGTCGGGGCGGCCTGGCACCCGGGGCTACCAGCCTGCGGCCCGCATCGGCGAAGGCTTGGCGGGTTACGCCGTCCCCATAGGCGGCGTCGCCCATGGCCTCCTGCACCGGCACACCGGTGTTGGCCTCGCTCTCCTCCACCAGCTCCAACGCCCCTAGGTTATCCGGAGCGTTGCCCGGCAACACCTCCACGGCAGTGATCAGCTGGGTGTCGGTGTCCACGACGATGGCCGCCTTGTGTCCGTCGAAGCGTCTCCTGCTGCTCTTGTGCCCGTGGCGCATCTCCGGGTCATGCACCGACACCATCCGGTCCTTGCTCACCCCACCCTTGAGGCTCACGCCGTCATCGCCGTCGCAGTCGCCGCTCTTTCGCTCAATGTCCTGGAGCAGCAACTGCCCCAGCAACTCCGCCCCAGCCACTATCTGCTGCCGCTGGACGCTGTCCTCCGCCGATTCCCCCTGCGCCTGCCGCGACAACTCCAGCAGCCGGTCGGCGTCGGCCACGATCCCGGCCAGCAGTGCCTGACGCGCCCCCTTGTCCGACCAGTCGATGGTCGCCTCTCCCTTGATGCTGGAGGCGAGGTACCGCCCGTATCCCCGGGTCTTGGCCCATTTCCCGACGCTGATTCCCTCAACCTGGGCCAGCGCCCGCAGCAGATTGACGATCCCGTCGGCCAGCAGGTTGAAGGTGTCCTTCACCGCGCCCCGGCCCAGGATGTTGGTCGTGTCCAGCGCCACCCGCATGCTGCGCTTCTTCAGGTACCCCGACTCCCGGGCCAGCCTCAGGCTGGACTCGAACACCTCCCGCACCTTGTCGTGCAGGATCAGCTGGGCGCGGAACACCTGCAGCGTGCTCTTGGCGAAGGGCCTGTCCTCCACCTCAATCCCCAGAGCCACCTTCCAGCGAATGTCGAAGTCGGCCCGGGCCTTGGCCTCGGCGTCGCTCACCTTGTCGTGAGTCTGCAACAGAAGGGCAGTGGCCAGCAGGCTGGGTGGCACGCTGTCCCGGCCGTTGTCGGCGCAGTAGAACTCGCCGAAATCTGCGTCCCGGAACAGACGGCCCCGCAGCGAGGCCAGCAGACCGTAGAAGGTATCCCGCCCCACGTGGTCCAGATACAACCGGTCTGCTTCCCACAGACCCCTCTGGTCCGAACGCTCTCCCAGCATTCTCAGCCCTCGCTACCCTTGTTGACTCCAAGTATAAATGCTGGGCGACTCAAACCACTTTCCGGCCAGATTTCTAGAGCCAATGGAGGACTATCCGGGTCCCGTCAGCCGGGCGATGCCGCGCATGGTGGGGCCGCCGTTGCTCATGCGTTTGGCCTGCATTGGCTGGCCCTTTCCGCAGTTGGGGATGGGGTAGACGCCCAGATCGTTGCCGACAGCGTCGATGGAACGGAAGTAGTCGCGGCTATCGGAGGTGATGCCGCCGTCGCGGTAGAGCCGCCCTAACTGTCCGTTCTCGATCTCGTACACCTTGACCGCGGTGATGCGGAAGTTCTCGCGTGACTCGGCGATGGAGGGTGTGCGGCGACCGTCGATGTAGTAGCCGTGGTCGACCTCGGCGATGATTTCCTGCGGGTCGCGGTCGCCGGGGGCGAAGACGGTATTGGTCATGCGGATCAGCGGCACGAGTTGAGCCTCGGTGGCCCGGGCCGAGCCGTTGGGGGACACCCCCATAATGGCGGCGGTCTGGCGATTGTTCAGGAACTCTTCCAGCACGCCGTCGCGGATGATGTAGGCCCTGCGCCCCGGGGTGCCCTCGTGGTCGTAGCGGAAGGAGCCGTGGCCGTCCATGAGTGGGTCCGAGTAGGCCGACACAATGGGCGAGGCAATCTGCTGGCCCAGCTGGTGATCGTTCAGGTCATTGAGGAACCAGGAGCGGCCGGCGTAGCCCGTCTCGTACTTCAGGGCGCGGTCCAGCTCGGAGGGATGGCCGACGACCTCGTGCACCAGCAGGGTGTTGAAGTGGGGGTTGGTCACCACCACCACGTCGCGGTCTGGAGGCTTGAGCGGCGGCGCGGCGGCGACCTCGCGGGCATCGGCGGACAGGCGGGTGCAGAAGTCCACGAAACTTGGCAGGACGATGGGGCCGCCTTGGTAGCCCCCTGTCAGGATTTCCCAGCCGCGCTGGTGGCCGGTGAAGTCGTAGTGCTCGAAGTTGCCGTGCTCCCCGTTGCATACGACGATGGCGAAGCCCTCGGTCTGGGCAAAGGCCTGGTCGATGTCGGCGCCCGTCGGAGCTGATGTACAGCTCGCGTGTGAGCTGAGTGTTGGCAAAAGCGGCACAGTAGCCCACTTGTCCATCAACGTCCTGCAATGCCCGGCAGCCATCGACGGCCATTTGTAGCACCGCAGCAATGGTACTCACGGGGGTCGTCGAGATAGGTGGCGCGGACGGTGTCGACGGCTGGAGGCACAGGGGCCAGTTCCGTGCCGGTCAGCGAGCCTCCCAGTAGAGGGTGAAGCTGGCGCATCCGGTCTTTCTGGACGGCGCTGGCGCGAGCCCTACGGTGGGCCTCCTCCAGTCCTTCCCACACAACTGCTTCGATATTGCTTGCGTCGGACTGTCCCAGAACCCGGCCGTAGTAGCCCGCGGCACTTATGAGGTCGCCGGAGATGGCGCGGACTCCGAAGTTGAAGGAATAATCTTCGCTGGCGGCCTTGGTATTACCGTTCTCGGCCGCCGCACCTTTGCCCTCGCGGACTTCGATGCGCATGTCGCAGTAACGCAGGTCAGGGAGCGAGCGAGACCGCTCCCCGATCAGCTCGTGTAACTTGGGCCGGAGCGCGTCCAGCGTTTCGATGCAGACGCGGGTTGCCATAGTGTCCGCTTCTACCCGTTGTCGGCGGCCCAGGCGTCGGCGCAGGCTTTAGCGACGGCCTGGGGGACGGCAAGGTCGAGGGACCACGGGATGACGCGTTCGGGTGTGGGCTCCGGGACCAGGGCAGCCAGCGCCTGACCGGCAGCCAGCTTCATTGCTTGGTGGTTATGCGGGTGGCCTTGGCATCGAGAGCCCCCCGGAACACGCCGGGGAAGACCAGGCTGTTGTTGATCTGATTGCGGAAGTCGCTGCGGCCCGTCCCCACCACTGCGGCACCGGCGGCCTCGGCCAGGTCGGCATGATCTCCGGGACCGGGTTGGCCATGGCAAATACGATGGAGTCCTTTGCCATGGACGACACCATCTGCGGGGTCACCATATCGGCCACGGCCAAGCCGATGAACACGTCGGCACCGCGCATGGCCTCGGCGATGCCGCCGGTGCGATTCTCCGGATTGGTGATGTCGAGCATCGACTGCTTGATGGGCGTCAGATCTGTGCGGCCCCGGTGGATGATGCCGACGCTGTCAACCAGGATAATGTTGGTCGCGCCGAAATCGAGCAGCAGCTTGGCGGAGGCGATGCCGCCCGCGCCCGCACCGGCAAATACAAATGTCGAGTCTTCGATCTTGCGCCCGGTGACGGCAAGACTGTTGATGACGGCGGCAAGGACGGCGATGGCGGTGCCGTGCTGGTCGTCGTGGAACACGGGGATGCCCAGGTCCTGCAGGGCTGCCTCGATGTCGAAGCACTTGGGTGCGGCGATGTCCTCGAGGTTGACGCCGCCGAGGCTGGGGGCGATGGCCCTCACCGTGTTGATGATTGTCTCGCTGTCCTGGGAGGCGACGCAGATGGGATAGGCGTCCACTCCTCCGAGAGCCTTGAACAGGATGGACTTTCCCTCCATCACGGGCATGGCGGCTGCGGCCCCGATGTTGCCGAGACCCAGCACAGCGGAGCCGTCGGTGACTACGGCGATGGTGTTGCCCCGGTTGGTGAGGTTATAGGATTCCGCGGGGTCGGCGTGAATCGCCATGCACACCGACGCCACGCCAGGGGTGTAGGCGATGGACAGGTCATCCAGCGTTTCCACCGTCATCTTGGATGCGATGCTTACTTTGCCGCGGCTTTCGCGGTGCCGGCGGATGGCCTCTGCTCCGTAGTCCATTGTCATTGTATGCACTCCTGACGTGGTTGGGATCGGTTGCGTAGGTTCGGCCTCCCGGAGTCTATCAGTGCGTGAAAGGCACAACCCGCCACCGTTCACGACAGAGCTGGAGTTGTGCATGTCTCTCCACTGTGTTGTCCCGCGCTGACGGACCCCGCGGTCTACCGAGTTACGGCGCCCTCGGATGCTGACGATGCCAGCTTGGCGTACTTGGCCAGGGCGCCGGTGGTGTAGTTGGGAGGGAGGGGTGCCAGTGGCGCGGCGTCGGTCAGTTCTCCTCGGTGAGCTTGACGTTGAGCTGGCGGGCCGGGATGTCGAGAGTGACACTTCGTCCCCACCCGCAGCAGCGCGATGGGGCCCACACCGCGCCTCGGGGGGCTACGTGACCGACCATGGCCGTGGCTGGCGCCGGAGAAGCGGCCGTCGGTTACCAGCGCAACGTCGTCGCCCAGACCCTGACCAACGATGGCGGCAGTCACCCCGAGCATTTCCTGCATGCCAGGGCCGCCCTTGGGGCCCTCGTAGCGGATGATCACGATGTCGCCGGCCTTGACCTCGCCGCGCTGATGCCTGGAAGCGGCGGGTCTTGTCGAAGACGCGGGACCGGGCGCGGTACACCGCTCCTGGTGACCGCCACCTGATGACCGCGCCATCCGCCAGTGCCGCAGGATGGCTAGGCCGCCGGTGGGGTCTGCGATGGACGTGTCACTGCGATGATGACCGGCTGGTCGTCAATGACGCTGATGCCCTCAAGGTTCTGGGCGACGGTCTTGCCGGTTACGGTCATGGCGTCGCCGTGGAGCAGGCCCGCCGCCAGTAGACGCTTCATCACCAACGCGATGCCGCCGTAGCGCGACAGGTCGGCCATCACGTAGCGGCCGGCCGGCTTCATGTCGGCGATGTAGGGCGTGGCCGCGCTGATGCGCTCGAAATCCTCCAAGGCCAGAGGCACCCCGGCCTCGTTGGCGATGGCCAGCAGGTGGAGGACGATGTTGGTGGAGCCGCCCATGGCTACGCCCACGGTGATGGCGTTCTCGAAGGCCTGCTTGGTCATGATGTCTCGGGGCCGGACGTCCTCTTCCAGCAGCCGCATCAGGGTGCGGCCCACGTCGCGGGACTCGCCCAGCTTGCGGGGGTCGATGGCGGGAATGGAGGCGTCGCCGGGCAGGGACATGCCCATCACCTCTATGGCGGTGGACATGGTGTTGGCGGTGAACAGGCCGGCGCAGGAACCCTCGCCGGGGCAGGCGCGGCATTCAGATCGCGCAGTTCCTCGAATGTAACGTCGCCTTTGGCGTAGGCGCCCACGGGCTCGAAGACGTCCTGGATGTTCACGTCCTTGCGTTGTACTGGCCGGGCATATGGAGCCGACCGTACATGAATATTCAGGGGGACGTTGAGTCGCGCAAGAGCCATCATGCAGCCGGGCATGTTCTTATCGCATCCGGCGATGGTGATCAGGCCGTCCATCGCGTTCGCCGAAGGTGACCAGCTCGATGGAGTCGGCGATGACCTCGCGGCTGACCAGCGAGGCCTTCATGCCCTCGGTGCCCATGGAGATGCCGTCGCTGACGGTGATGGTTCCGAACTCGAAGGGGATTCCTCGGCGGCGCGAACACCCTCTTGGCTCCGTTGGCCGAAACGGGCCCAGGTGCGTTGCAGGGAGTGACGTCGCTGGCCAGATTGGCGATGGCGACGAAGGGCTTTTCCATGTCCTCGTGGGTGATGCCCATGGCCATCAGCATGGCGCGGGCCGGCGCGCGCTGCGGGTCGTGGGTGATCTCGGCGCTGCGATGCTTGGTCTTGGCGGGCTTTCCGATTTCAACTGGCGCTGTCGCTGCGTTGGTGGTGGCCACAGGGTCATCTCCGTCAGGGAAAGGATTGGGTTCAGCGGGGCGAGTAATCCCGGAGTCCCCGATGTGGGTGTTGCCGGAAATCTGTCGCGCAATTATAGGTTGCTGCCAATAGAGGCACAAGGCGGCAGAACTCTAGACGGAAGTGGATGCAGCCAATGATGATATGAAAGGATATAGAGGTAGAGGAGATGGTCAGTTCTAGTTGACAGATGGCTTGGCGCTTTCAGCAATAGAGGCTATAGCATCCAGCTTCTCTATCACCTCTGGAGAGATTTCCTGTGCTGGAATGTAATTGGCCAGTTCGTAGAAATCCTTTTTGTTCATTAGGTTAGGTAGATCCAGTTTTTTGAAATAATTACGAAATAATGGAGTCAGGAAAATATCGCTGACTTTAACCTCCGCATCCCAAGGGGACCCTTGCCCGAGAGTGAACATGGCCCCCTCAATTTCCGTGATGGAATCACTCATTGCCTGAATTCGTCTTGGCTTCTCCCCTACGGCGAACAGCGGGCCTTGAGAGTCAGCCTCGGCAGACGCTTGGGCGTAGGCCTCCAGCATAGATCGGGTACAAAAGTAGTTTTCGATCTCACGTCGTTGCCATGTGTGGATTTCCAGAGCCCCTCCACCGTCCGTAGTCATTTCCAGGCGATCGAAGAGCGCAAGACCCTTCAGCTCTGGAATTGCCTCCCTAAGTCCGAAGTAGTGATTCCGGGCCCTGCTGGGCTGATTTTCCACATAGCTAACGAATGGTCGTTCCAATGCCTTGAGTGCCCGTTCGTGGCCAAGTCGGCGGGCAAAGGTCTTCATGATTGCTAAGTCAGTGGAACCCTCAAGGTATAGCACCCATCCGGTTTGCTCGGCTTGATAATACTGGTCGAACCCTATGTCTCGTAGGGACTTCAGTACCTGGCTGCCCCGGTCATCCATCCTGTGAGGTTTACCAACAAATGCGATGACCATATCGCGGTCGGCGGCCTCCGTTAGCAGGACTTCAGAATGGCTGGCGGCAATGATCTGGTTGCCGCTCTCTTGGGCGGCGTCGGAGATCATCTGATATATCTGGCGTTGTCTTAGAATTTCCAAGTGAGCGTCCGGTTCATCGAGCAACAAAACAGCACCTGGATTGGCATACATATATGCCAATATCAGTAATGTTTGTTGCAGACCGCGCCCGCTGGATGACAGGTCAAGAGAAATGCCCCGCTCGCGGTAACTCATTACTATCTCCCCGCGCTCGGCTACGTAGCGGGGCGTCTCCAACGTAGCCAAGAACAGTCCATATATCTGCGCAACGAGCCGTTGCCAAATATCGGGAGTTTCTTGCTCAATACGGTAACAAAGATTCCTTAATACCTCTGCCGTGCGACCCTCCCCGATTCGGACATTTACTGCCCCTGCGTCCAGTCGGTCCTCCGTAGCCGCTAAGCCTGACATTGGCGGGAGAAAAGCCACCTGAACCGACCTTGCATCTTCTGGAACTGGCATTCTTTGGCCGTCTATGGTTCTGAGAGGGCGGCAGTAGAATGACTCTTCGTTTGCATAGTCGAACTCGAGTCCACACTGCCATTCTCTCCACCATTCACCCCTGAAACGCAGATGTTCACCAAGACATTTTCGATCTTCTGGCGTCCCTCGTCCTTATAGGAATTTCGAACGTGGAGGTCTCGCCATAACAATCGCGCGCTTGGAACTGGAATAGAAACGAGGTCCCGCCGGTTTACGGCGACACCCGCTTGCTCGGCCGACAGCGTTTCGGTGTGTCAGGCGCTCACGCCACCGTTCAAAATCAACCGATGTGCCCACAATGCAAAGCTGCATGGCGAAGTCTTGCCGGAGTTGTTGGGACCTATAAACACTACAGGGCTGCCGAGTTCGATTTCTACCTCACCCAAGCCCTTGAAATTGAGAAGAGAGAGGTTGGTAAGCATAGAGCACCCGACAAGGCAATTGGCTGTCGATATTCTATCATCTGGAAGAACGTGATAGCCCGTAATGGCAGGAGCCGAAATGTTAAGGAGTTATTCCAAGTTCCTGCCCAGCCGCTTTCGCCTCCACAAAGTCACAAGGCTGAGGTGGGGTCTTCGGGCGGGTAGCTGCCGAAGGGCGGATGCCACCCCACGGTAGTAGCCGCATCTCTCGTACAGGCCGATAGCCTCGGGTTGATATATGCCGGTTTCCAGACGCATCAGGCCTGCGCCCCTCTCCGTCGCGACCTCCTCGAGGTGTGCCAGCATCCGCTTGGCGAGGCCAAGGCCGCGGAACTTGTCGCGGACGTACATCCGCTTGATCTCGCCGTAGCATTGTCCCGGGGCATCGGGCTCGTCAAAGATCTGCACACCCCCGCAGGCCGCGGGTTCGCCGTCGTGGTAGAGGACGAAGAACTCGACCTGCTGCTCTACCAGCTTCTCGATACTGTACCCGTGCTGGCTTTCCTTTGGATAGAGGGGATGCAGGTAGGCGTCCAACTCGGCAATGAGCTGGGAGGCCTCCTTGGTACCAGGGTGTTCCCGGCAGATGATGCTGGATTTCGTAGCGTTCATTATTCCAGTCTAGCACGGGACTGACCGGCCTCCCACACCTGTGTACGCTATTCATCTGCGCTTGAATAAGAGATAGCAATCGGCACTACCCTTCCAAATCCCTTCCTCTCCTGTGAGATTCTTCCGTCTTGCCTGACCGCCGGATCCGCCGGATTGGCCATCAGGAGAGGCTGTTGGAATGGTCCACGGCTTGCGCGGTTGACCGATTTCCTTTAACCTTTTGGACGGCTCGAAATGACGCGAGCCAGCATACGATGTCGATGGTCCAAAAACCTTAGAAATCCCGTTATGGAGGGGAATGATGTTCAACCCCATAGGATGGTTCAAACCCGCGGTAGCCAAGGCCCACTGTGATATTCCCTGCGGAATTTATGACCCCATCAGTGCCAAGATTGCGGCGCAGACGGTACAGAAGATGGTGTTGCGGATGCAGAACCTGGAGCATCCGGCCCCCGGTTCCGAAATGTCGGCGCACCAAGCCTTCGCCACACGCTTCAACGCGAGCGTGCAGTGAAGGAAGAGCACGCCGAGAAGTGCAAGGGTAGCTGCGCATCCTCTGGCCGACTATGCTTATGCCCGGTCTCGCCGCCGCCGAGATGCCGCCAAGTGCAATGCGGCCATCCAACTGGCGGCCAGTGCAAGAGACCGTCAGCATGGAGAACGACCACTGAGAACTTGGTAGGCGTCCTGCGCGACCATCGCGCCACCTTCGGGGCACCACGAACCAGGAGTACAACAGCGCCCCTGGCTGCCGCCCGACTACGGGCGTAGCACTGCTACCACACCCTCTAGTGGAACTGCAGCTGACGATGAAGGGGCGCACAATTGTGCGCCCCTTTCCGTTGTGGCGTCTTAAACGCCGAGGGCTAGCTTCCTTCGATGGCTGCCGGGCCCTCAATGACCTGCACCGGGAACTCCTTGGCCCGCTTGGCCTCGGCCTTCGGCAGGGTCACAGTTAGAACGCCGTGCTCGTACCGAGGCTCCGCCCTGTCCTGGTCCACCGTGTCGGGCAGGCGCAGGGAGCGGTGGAACGAACCGCTGCGGCCCTCGCGCATGAGGTAGGCACCGTCTGCGCTTTCGAACTGGGACGCCGTTTCGCCGCGGATGGTCAGGACGTCGTCCTCGATGGATACCCTGATGTTTTCAGGGGCCACGCCGGGCAGTGAAGCCCGGACGTAGAATTCGTCTACCGTCAGCCACCACATCCAGGGGCGCGGCCCAGGCTTCGAACCCGTTGCTATCGTCGTGGTGGAAGGTACCGAAACGTCTCAACATGCGATCCATGTTCTCATGCATCTGCATGAGTTCGCCGAAGGGGCTGGAATGGTTTCTTCGCTGCAACATCATGCTTTTCTCCTCGCTATCGATAGTGGTCCGTTGTTCAGTACGGATTGCTGTGTCTCCGGGGTTAGCCTAGTAGTCCGCCGCTATTGTATTGAGGGGTATAGGGACTTGAGCTTGATGCGGGCGTCCTGGGTAGTGAAGCGCCAGTCCACTCGAATCGCCGCCCGGTTGCGTTGCTCCTGCCATGCTCCGGTTTCCTGTGCCAGAACTCTCTGGCTGGGTATCCGGCGATCAAGGCATTGCCGCGCCAGCACCCCCAGTTCTATCTCCGCTATATTCAGCCAACTCCCGTGCTTCGGCGTGTAGTGTATCTCCAGCCGTTCGGCGATCCGCCGTGCCTCCGCCGGCTCGAAGGCCTGGTACAAGGACGACGGATGGTGGGTGTTCAGGTTGTCCATCACCAGCACTATCCGCTCCTTGTCGGCATAGTCCTCATCCACCAGTTTCCGCACCACCTCCGCCCAGTCGGTCCTGGTGCGCCGGTCCGTAACCTCCACCCGGCGCCATCCCTCCAGAGGCGCGAACAGCATGAACAGGTTGCTCACCCCGTTGCGCTGGTACTCGTAATCGTAGGCCCTGGCTGCCCCGGGCCGCGGCGGGAGGGGCGTACGGGTCTCCTGCACCAGTTGCTTGCTGGTCTCGTCCAGACACACCAGACCTCATTGTCCTGGTATTCACGATGATAGACCTCCAGCACGTCCTCCATGGCGCACACGAATTCGGCGCTGCCCTGGGGCGGGAGGCACCAGCACTCCTTCAGCCAAGGCTTGAGTTCGTTTTTTTCAGAGTCCGGCGCACCGTCTCCGGGCTGATGCTGTCCACCATCTCCCGCTCCACCAATCCATCGGCCAGCATCTGCATGGTCCAACTGACCCGTCCCTCCGGCGGCTGGGATATGGCCATGGCTATCAGGTGGGCCTCACCCTGGCCATCGAGCTTCCTCTGACGGCGGCGCAGTTGCTCCCTGCGCCCCAGGGCCGCGTCAACCCCCTCCTCCACGCACCGGCGGCGCACCCGCTCCACCGTGGCGGTGCCCACCTTGAGGGCCCGGGATATCTCCTGGTCCATCATCGGTCCGCCAGACTGGTTCTCATCGCTGAGCAGGAGAATGCGCGCGTGAGTCTGTTTATAGCCGCAGCCGGCCTTTGGACACCAGTGCCCTCAGTTTCCTCCTGTTCCTCCCCAGTCAGTCCACACGGTATTTCTTGACCATCACATCCACCCCGCTGCACAGTCTTCTTCCTTGGGCCTCGCTTCCCTGCATCTTACCAGCCATCACTTCAATGATGGTCGTCTACTAGAAGTAGTAGCGTACGCCGGGGCTGGGCACGCGGTAGGCCAGGTAGGTCCGGGGAACCTTCTTCTCCTGGCTGGCATCTTCCAGAATCTCCGACACCTGCTGGGCCACCTTGCCGCTGATCTCCTGGGCCTCGCGCTCCATCACCGCGCCGTTGTCGTTGCGAATTTCTGTTGCTGCCATCTCACTCGTCCCTCCGCTTGGATTGATTAGACTATAGCAGTTGATATGAAACGTGTCACTAGGCTTATCATAGAACGGCATCACTTGATTCGAGTCGCATAATATTACACATATACCGTTGACATTAGTCTTCATGCGAGCTATAATAGGGATAAGCTGGAGGCGATCCGGTATAGGGGCCGAGGATGACAATGCAGCAGACGCCAGGAATCTACCTTATCAGCGTCGTGGCGGACGAGCTGGATATGCACCCGCAGACGCTGCGCAAGTACGAGCGCGCCGGGTTCGTGGTGCCGCTTCGAGTGGGAGCGTTGCGCACGTATTCGGACGAAGACGTGGCCCGGCTTCGGCTGGTCAAGCACTTCGTGGATGACATGGGCCTGAACCTGTCGGGCGTGCAACTGGCCCTGAGAATGACTTCCGAACTGCTGGCCCTGCGCCTGGAAACGGCGGCGGAAAGCGGCCCCGTCGAGCGCATTGACGGGATGCTGGCAACTCTGGGAGTGCGGGTGGTGCAGCGCCCCCGGCCCGAACCCGAGGAGGAGCCGGGCGCCGCGGGCGGGTCGGCGCAAGGCACGGAACGTTGGTTTAAGGTGAACCCCGGCGAGTCGGTGGAGTTCGATACTGGGGAGGGGGAGAAGGGCTAGCCTCTCTGGCGGTTACTCCCGGAGAGCCTTGGGCCAACCTGCAAACGGATTGACCGCTCGTTGCGGCAACCAGCAGAAGAACGCTAATACGCCCTTAGCTGTTGGTGTCGCCGGAGTCCAAGCCAGTCAGAGGAGCCAGAAGTTCCAGCAACTCCGCCACTGCCTCCAATCCCTCGCCGATGTCCCTGTCGTTCAGATGCCTTTTGCGCTTGTAATAATTTACGTGCAGGTCGTTGGCGACGCCGCGAAGGTCTCGAAATCGTATATTGCCAGTCAACTCCCTGGCCCGGTAAACCCCGATCCACCGAAGGAGGGCGTGTAG